GCAAAACTTGTTGGGTCAAAAAGGTATAGGAGCAACAGGTACCACTAGAGAAAACAGAACTGGCAAATGCAAACTGATAGAAACTGCCACAATGAAGAAGCTTCCGTACTCTCACCATCTGACCTGAAAGACCACTCGCCATAAAAACTAATCGGCTTCGTTAAGAAGTTGGGTTTATTTGGTCGAGTGTGAGTAGTTGGAGGGTTGAATAGTCTCACTTACTTTGGATAAAACCTTCATAATTGGTAGAACTTGGCGTGATTTTTTTTTGGCTTCCCTGGGCTCTTCTATTGGGACGATTGTACTCTGATTTCGATGTCATATCTATATACCCATTATTCGTAACTAATAATGATCCTTTCAAGCAAATCTGGATCGCCATTAACGTAATTCAACAATTCATGAGAGATGCTCATGCAACGGTATTTTTAGAAAAAAAAAATAGCAGTTTTGGGACAAATTTCGCTGCCACATGTTTTGTGGTGATTCGATGAAAAGTTTTCCCTTTCTATACACCAGTATAAGGTTCTCTATTATAATTTCTATTTGATTTCTTTCTCAGAAAATGACTTTTATTTTGTGCTTTACAACAAACAATATAAAGTCAACTTATTTGCTGGGTAGAAAAATCTTCAGATATGAAGACTATCAGAGAAGTAATGGTCATTCATTAATGATTAATATGTGAACTATATTTCTTTTATCTCCGTTAAAATGGATAACTATGTGTGCACTCAACTGTCATTATTTTGTTTCTAGATCTCAATTACATCTTACCTATACCATTTTTTCTCAGATTTGATATAATTCATTCGTTCCTGCCAGTTTTGTTAGAGTTAGAAGTAAACATAGGTATGTATTTTCAGAACACCAATTCATGATGTGGCTACGTTAGGTCAGAAGTGAGTGGGTACCGTCCATCGCAATCTGCAAGGGTTTATTGTGGCTCACACCTATTCAAACTTGACGAATTAAACCCAGATTCTTAACGAAGCCGATTAGTTTGTATGGTGAGTTGTCTCTCAGGTCAAATCGTAAAAGTGTGGCTCGACCAAACTCTGAAAACCTGACTCGGTCCACAGCAGGACAGGCACAAAGTATATGCCCTGCTGTTCCATTATTTTCCAAACAGAGGCGACACACAGTGTCTTCCGACAGTCCGAGTTTCTGCATATGATTTAGACGACAGTGACCTGTGAGCATCGTTGTTCATTCCTGCTGTAGTCCAACAGCTGTTTGGTTTCAAGCTTTGAAGGGTGAATGAACGTGTTGGAATGAGCAAATCCTGGGAGATTTTGTCATAATTCCTAGAATATTCCTGTCATCCAGGTGTTCAATATTTATTTGGAAAAACCTATAGCGATGCCAGTGACAGGTTCTGGTCCGATGTATCTGCTTGCAGCATCCTCCTTCGCAAGGAAGTCAGCAGCCTCATTGCCTTCTAGACCAGTATGGCCAGGAATCCAGACCGGAGACAATTTGTTAAGTCTTCCTATTGAAGAGAGTCGTTTTTGGCAATTTGCTACAAATTCAGAGGATCCTTGGTAGGAGCCAACACCTTCCAACGCTGCTTGACTGTTCGAGAATATTTTTATTGACTTGACTACCACTCTCTCCGCACACAATTCAATAGTATAGACTTTCGCTTGAAATACAGTCGCATAGTTACCTAGGCAGGCTGATATCTCTATTCTGGATCTGCAACTGAAAACACCTGCATCAGAGTTCGAAGGTGTTTTTGATCCATTCAACCAACAACTATGTGCTCTTAATATTTCCTTTCCTGGAGGATCCAGTCTTCTCTACTCCGGAAAAGTACTGTATGAGGCAGTTCCTAGTTGACTGCATGATGTGGTGCTCCTATTTGAAAGTCGAATGAACACTTCTTTAAGAAAACTTTGGAGTTTCACGTTTATTTCCAACTTCCAAGATGGGCAACCTTCGAACCTCCGGTATATCAAATATCATTTTTGTTATACGAATTATTTCATAAGAAAAAATCCTGTTCTTGACAACGTACCACTCCGTTGATATTTCAATGGTTCTTTGCCACTATTTACTTCATTTGCCTGCGATCACAGCGCCACAATCATTATACCAAAAATATCATACTTCATAATCTATATTAAAAAAAATCATCTGTATTATTTTCAACCTAAATAACCGCTAAGCTACCATACCGATTAATGGCAAAGTAATCAAAATAAATCCAAGCTTCATCATTTGTAGAAGAGCTGCCCCAACCATACACCTTTCTCAGAAGATGCCTTTAAATCCCCACTTTTTACTCTGAAATCAGTTCCTTTTCAGTAGAGAACGATTTCCAAAGCTTAGTTTACAAATCAAACAGAAAACAAAGTACAATATCATGATATATCGCAATCAAGTGCACCCGTAATAGGATTTTAGTTCGGTAAACAATCATAATTCAATATCGAGACTGGACGGAACACTTGCAGCACATGCACCCTTCGAACGGGAAAGGGTGTCCTTGCTAAACGCTAATAGGTATGACGTTGCATGAAATTGTGATTAAAAGAGTTAAATAGGCAACAAAGGATTTATGTCTCGGATTAACACCCTTGGAACTACGAAATGTATTCTGACAGCGTCAGAGCAAATTTTAAGTTGGTGGAGATTGATGAACTCCTACCGCAGGTGGCTTGTATTGGATTGGGCGAACGGGTATGAATTCATACTGCAAGTTGAGTTTGTGGAAGGGTTCCTATTCTCAAACTTTTTGCTCTTGACATTGAAATTGAGGTGTCATAACTTCGAAGCAACCGTGTTTTTGATAGTCAACTTTTCAGTTTGTAATCACAATCTCAAACATATTTTATCATGAGAATGAAAGGTTTTGGCTTTCTACTTCTCCATCTTCATACAAAAAAGGTGGAAATCTTCCAAAGAAAAGAAGAAAGCAATAAATTTCAAAAAGGTAACTTTATTTTATACAAATCTGTATGTCATGCAAAGAAGTCACTTTCAGGCACAAACTAAAAGAAAATTCCTCTCGAAACAGCTCCTTTCATATAAACATTGATTTGGGAATGATCAAAATAGTACTTATCTATTCATATTTTGATTTTCATGGAATTATTTTCCAGCAGCTTGACTGCATTAACCTTTCTCGATGTCATATCATTTCTAGAAACATCTGGATTCGTTTTCCGATGGCATTTCAGGTTAGCTTTCCAAATTTCTGCTTTCGCAGTTGTCGGTTCATTGGTCAAACCACCAACACTGACATAAAAACTTGGCAAGTTGACTTGGGTGTCACACCAATAGGTGGTTCCACTTATGTCTCGCTTGCGTTTACGCAGTTAATTTTATCAAGTATTTTTTTTGGTTATTCACATATTGTCTTCAATCGAGGATTGCCTGCCGGTACTAACGATGACCAATAGGCTGAAACAGCTGTCTACCGGTGGCTCTTAAATTGAAGTCAATATATATATATATTTGTTTCACCAACTCAAGGAGAATACATACCAAAAACTAAACAAAAAACTGAACACATCAATACAGAAACAAGATAAGGACACAACAACGATGAGAAAACACCACACATTCCATCCGAGAGTCATCAACATAACGAACGTACACTTCAACGATATAGAAATACAAATACTTGAACAAGGCCCAAAATTCAGTCCATATCAGAAAATCACGCCACAAACCATTGAGAACCTAATTGTTGACACAGAGATGGCTTTGAACCAAGTAGAAGCATCAAAATTAGACGAAATCAGATCAGAAGCAATCAACACTCTGAAACAAATAATCAAAAAACCAGAAAAGACTCCGGAGAAACCAGCAATCACGAAAGCCACCAAATCAATAAAAAAGAAGTTGATCTCCAACAACCTCACAGCGGTTAAAGCCGACAAAAGTAACGCCACAGTTATTATTGAAAAACAGGAATTAAGTATGAAAGTGAACAAATATATAACTGAAAACGATTTTAGCACGATTAATCACGATCCAACCACAAAATATGAAAGACAAATTAATAGCCTAATAAAATCCAACAAACAGATCTTTAACAACAAAGCATTGAACAGATACACAGTCAATAACCCAAAAGCACCAAAACTCAACGCACAGATAAAGATACATAAGGAAAATAAACCTATAAGACTGGTTATCAATTTCACCAAAGCACCTTCATACAAAATTTCAAAAATCATAGCCGACGAACTGAAAAACAAAATCAACAAGAACAACGACCACAGCATCAAAAATTCAATGGAACTCACAGACAGAATCTCAACGACAAATGTCAGCCCGAACACTAAACTGTTCTCGTTCGACATAAAAAACATGTACTCCACTATACCAGTCAACGAAAGTATAAACATCATATCTGAGAAACTAAAACACTAAAACATAGACAAAACCTACATTAACCAAATGGAACACAGTCTAAATACAATACGTAATTCCTACACAATATAGTAAATGGAAGAAGTAAAATTTCACTAACATGGAACACTGTCATCCTCACTGGTAGACATCCGATGTTACCGTAAGACACTTGCCTTCAGTACCAGCTCTTCAGTACCAAATTTGGATAATATTATAAGAAAAAACACTCAATTGATTCATAAAATTACAACTTTGTCACGAAATGAGTTCAATCTACTCATCTTATCGATGACAGTACGTAATGAAATTCATTCATTTGTTAAATCCCAGCCAAAGGAACCTTGTTTAAATTGAAAGGGGTATATTTTCAGGGTAGGTAAATTTTTGGAAAAGATTTTGGCTTTCTACTTCTCCATCCCGATGCAGGAAAAATGTGGTTTAACGTAAACAATGCTGCTAACTGATGTGGTTTTTATGTAAATAATTGATTTGATATGTTACAGTCGTCCCTAATCCCTTTCATTATTTCGTCTACTTTCTCCACTTGTGCATTTATGTAACATTAGAATGCATATTTCTGTGACTCAGTTGTTCCATTTGTTCCAGCTGCAGGCGTGGGCAGCTTGTGTGGCATGTGCTGCAGACCTATAAACGATCGATTTCTCCTGAGAATCATGGATATATTCTATCACGAACAATGCGTTCAGTGCTGTGCGTGCGGAGATCATCTTCTCCACACCTGTTTCGTTCGAGACTCCAAGTTGTATTGTAGAATAGATTATGACAGGTTAGTGAAGCATGAAAATTGAGAATAATGAATTTTTATGATATTTCAGTACTCTTCGATAAGAAAAATAGATAATAGTGTGACATCACCCGTCCCCCAAATAACGCTTTGAACTTTTATCAATAGAAAAGACGGCCTTATGACAACTCATTTCATAGTTCTTTTCAATCATCTATCCAACAATAGTTCATTTTAGGAAATCGTACCAGATATTTATGAGTAATCAACAGTTTTATATCATTTTTAAGAAACTGGAACCAAATGAAAAATATCACAATTTCAATAAAAAATATTCAAAACTCACTTCAGTAACGGTTCAAAATGTTCACCATTCATTGATTGAAGTCTGTTATCGAATTCACATGCTGTACTTTTTTATTCAAGGACAAAACACAAGCACAACAGGAAAATCCCTAAGACGCCTCAACAGCTGTGTCTGCGCAAAAGTAGCGATTCACATTGGATTTGAATCGCTGGAGATTAAATCTATTTCTCCAGTTGAAAGATTTCTTAAACAGTGAAGTTCGAGGTGTAATGAGTTAAATCTCAAAACGATAAGCCACAGCACAGTGGATTTTTTATATGTACTGCTCTTGGTGGAATCGAATGTGCCAAGTCACTTGAACACTTCCCGTAAACACATCTATAGAAGAGAGACAAATTTCCAACCTTTCTTCGATGTTCCAGGCTATCAAGGTTCTGGATGAAATCCAGCAGCTTCAAAACATGCTTAGGAGCGGAGCTCCATGAGAACAATACTCCAGAGAAGGTCTGTTATGAGCCTCATAAAGCATCAAAAGTTGCTGAGGTGTGTATATACAGTTTTCTGGTTCGGAACAGGGTTCTAAGCTTTTGAAAAGCAGCAATTCCAGCGATATGATATAGCCAAGACATATTGGTGTCCATTTTAACCCCCAAAAAACTTATATCCGGTTCGGAGATATTTATCTTTTTGGAGAAAACCGATGTGTGGGTTTTTGTGTCACTGAATTGAACCTGGATAGTTTCACCCCAATTCGAAATCACTTCTAGATCCTCAATGCAACCTCACGCTGCCGGTGAAGATGTGCATCCGCAGCCGATATCCTGGAATCCAAATGGAATGACGATACAAGTGTGCTGCCGACAGCAAAGCAATATATTGGATTCTTCGTTTTTTTCAAAAAGTTGTTGATATACGTTGGATACAATATGGAAACAATATGGATACCTGAAGAACACCAGCGTTGATGGTAACAGTATTCGAAATATATCCATCGACTGCCACTTGCAGGGAACGTGCCACACACAAAAATGATCCAACAAGCCATGGCATCGAAGTTTGTCCAGCAAACCTTTATGCGACACAGGTTTCTCTTCCTTGTGGAGCTCTTGCTGTCTTCTAGCTAAAGCCTGTTCTACCATCACTCCGGAGTAACCATTCCGTTGAAAGTCATTTTTGATGATGCCTAGCTCCCTTTCGAGACCTTCCTTTGTATTACAGAGCTCGAAGGCACGATCTAGTAGAGTCTTGATGATTCTTCTCTTAGTCGATTGATGGTGGTTGGATTTCTGGTTCAGATACTGTCCTGTGTGGGTGCGTTTTCGATATACAGATGTTTCCCATTTAGTGTCGGTCCTAAATACGGTTCACCAATACGTGTTCAAATAAAATTGTTATTTTCGGTTGATCTTTTCAATATTTTCCAGGAATTTCAAATCAATTTATATTATATTAGACAATGGAAGTCCGAACTGATGAAATACACCACGAAACATTGTCAACCACCTTCAAACAAACTGTTTATTACACATTGTTTATTACTGGAGTTTAGTCCCATCATCAAACCGATATTTTTGACAACTCGACACGTGTTTCAATCAGCAAGTGATCATCTTCAAGAGGAAGATTGAACTGTTCAATCTTCAAGAGTTTAGTCTCAATACCAAACAGTTATTTTTAACTCTTCAGGATTGAACAGTTTAATCTTCCTCTTGAAGATGATCACTTGGTGATCGAAACGCCTGTCGAGGTGTTGGATTAAACTCCAGTGATATTCATTACTACACCAAAAGTTCCAAACAGTGCATCACAAGTACTATTACTGTAATATAATGGAATAAACTTCAATTCAATTACTATGATAATATGAACATGTTTTGAAAGAACTGTTCAGGTGTGATAAGATTCTTGGTTTCTAAACATCAAACTCTCTTCTGTTTAAACAATTTCGATTTTTCTGAGACTATGTCATTCGTGCTGAAAAATATTAAATGAACTATTTGTATTGAAAAAGTTTTACTTTTCTCACACAAAAACAAATATTATTCCAACCAGGCTGATAGCGTATACGCATTCTATGTTGGGAAACATATTGCAGGAAAGGGAGTAGGACAATTGCAATATGTTTCCAGCCCTCCGAGTATTCTCCAGTGGCTTTACTATTATCACATGTGACAAGTATACAGAGAGAAGCTTTATATTACTTGCTTTTGGGGTTCGGTGAAAATTAAAGTCGATTGGCAAAAACAATTCCTTTTGATTTCAGCATGAAATGTTTTTTCTGATTCTGTTATTACCTCCAATATTTGCATATTTCTTAATTTGACTATGGATCTTCATCAAGTAACGGCCAAATCAATCAGAAAATCTTAATTTGACATTATATCAAACTGATGAACTCAGATTCTTGAAATACGAAAAATAATTCGGCGTCTTCTTCAGTCAACAAATTACTTGATTCATCTTCATGGTTGGAGGCTTCAATCTAAACATCTCTATCTCTATCTCACTCGATAGAAATTCCAACAAAAAATATGGAAATTGAGGAAATTTAGGATTCGAGATGTCTTTCCTGTCTTCACATTCTTAGTTGGGGTTCACGTTCAAATTCATTGAATCACAAATAACCGTTGAAAGTAAGACCAGGAACCTCTAACGAAGAATATATCCTTGATACGTCAACACTCACTTTTATTCATTCGTAACCAAATGCTTCCTAATTAGGGTTTGAACAATAACTCAATAAATGATCCTGACTTGGTTTTGCACCGAACTATTTGTGAGATCTTCGTATTTCTATCTATAATATTTACGGATTGATTCTGGGTAAGGAAAGAAGGCGTTGGAGAAATGTTCAATAAACTGGAATTACGGGGTCTCCCAGTCAAAAAATCACAAATCAAAACTCAGCTCTACTTTGCCAAGCATTCGATTCTAATGGGAAGCTTCTTCAGGGACTATAATTCATTGAGTTGCGGTTTCTTTGCCATTGAATAACAGTACAAGTCATACTTACAGTAGAAATGAGTGAAAAACAATGAATTGAACATATAAATTGACGAAAGAAATTTAAACATGTATGGATTTTTTGGTTTGACAAATGTCATACCTTCACATAAATGTAATTCTTCAATGGGCATGATGATTTGATAATCTTTGACTCTAAAGAGAGAGTTGATTGTTACATTTTTCATTACTATCATTATGTTTTTTGGTGTAGCTCCAGTAAGTTACTGTATATACTGCTGAGATCATCAATGTCAGTTTTTTCTTTCATACGATCAGAAGACTTATTTCAACCATTTCATGAAAAAAGCGTTTGGAATAATTTTTTTCTGGACATAAACCATATTACTTTAATATCAAAGTTTTACATATAGTTACATACAAGTTCGATATTATATTATGAGCTCATATATTCAGCACATTCCATATTTTGTGAATATTCTACCTTAGTTGATATACCTATATTTTACTCTTTGTTCAAACGACTCGACTCAGCGAATCATGTTTATCCAAAATATTCTGTCTATCTTACAAATACTCGAGTCCTTTCGATTTTTTTGCAAAGTTCATCGTAAATCTGTGCAGATTCCCAAACTCCCCCAATAATCATTATTATGACAGTAATCCCTCATGTTTTGGCAGCAAACACTGAATTTAATATAGATAACTCAGCATTTATGGGGTTTATCAAAAGTCCGAGATCTCACGGTCTAGTAGACCCGACTGGAACAGAGCAAACGGATAACTGTTTACACAAGGACGACATACTGCCGTCCTCCTGCTATCCCAATGTTGACCAGAACTTCAATATCCCGGCCTCAGGGCGTGTAACACGTGACTTTGCCGTCTGCATACAATTTCAAATCTCTCCGTAAACTTTGATCACTTGCTGGAAGTTACATACGCACTGGTTCCATTATTAGCGGCTCTTTCAGTAGATTATTTATGGAAAGGCTAATTGACAGTTGTGAGAATGGGCGAATCAAGATTTTTATTTGTTTACTCAAGGCTGCATGGAATAGTATTTGTTGAGGGGAGGGGTGAAGGTAGTGTATTATCGTAAATCACATTTCACAAACAAGGATTTTTGAAAAAGAAAGCGACCAGGGATTACTAGATTCAGGCGGAATATTGAAATTAATTTTTCTGAAATATATTTGATCGAGTTTTTTGGAAATTTAGAGGTTTGATATTTGAATTCAGCTTATTGGAAACTATAAGAAGCATGTTTTGATTACAACCCAATAATTGATTGACGTAGACGTTACTTCGTGGTAGGAGATCATTATGAAAAATGAGAAATGAAACTTTCTGTTTTTTCCACTTTCATTTGTGACTATCGTTACTGCAGGTTCGTCCTACGTTTTCAAACTAATACAATGAAACAGAAAATAAAAAATAATGTTAGCCATTATACAGAGCATTTCTTCAATGTCCCCCTCGTTTTATTTTTTGAACGAGTCAACTCAAAAAATTCAAATTTGGGATACTGAAAATAATGCATGAATACATTATTTTGAAGTGAAATTGACAAATGAAACTTTCAAGATGGCGATTGGGCGCCATCTGGGAAAAAATTAAATGGAATTCTACTTATTCCGTCGCGAATGTTTGTGAGGTTTCTCCTTCTACTGTGTGGAGACTTTTGAAGAGGAATAGGTATCATCCATACAAAATTAAAATGGTACACCAATTAACTGAAGATGACCCTGATCGAAGAACAGAATTCTGC